CCCCAAAACCCCAAAACCCCAAAACCCCATGACAAGATATTTTAATTAATATTAATAATGTCAGAACGCAAACACATGTTCTTCCGAAGAAAAGGTAAGCAACACCTGTCTATGTATTGAAGGCAGGAATACTAGATTTTCCTTGATTGAAGGTTGTCATTAATAAAGTTTAAACCACATTCAAGGTTCGAATTTTCACATCGTATTGAAGAAGAATGATAAATTATTTCTTTGGCATATAAAACAGACACATTTTGCCCAAAGCATTAGATATATCCTTCTTAGTGGCTAAATCTCTAAAATTCCTCCAAAATTGTATTAAGACAGCCTAAGATTTCTCTCTCAGGGAATCCTAAGGCTATATGGTTATGAGAAAATTTGGTAGTAAACAAATTGAGCCAATGACCTATCTGGCTAATTCCCATGTCAACCTATCCCAAATCTTTGCTAAGCCCATGACTCTCTCACTAGCAGCTTGGAGTATCTCCAAAGTAGTAAATTTTGCCTTTAGGAGCTGTAGTACACAATAAAAAGTCAGATTTAATTTCTCCCCATTAAGAACAACTCTTCCTAATTTGTTTATGAACATATTTAAAAGGCCCAAATCAACCATGAAGGTGATACTTCTACTTAAATTCCAACGAAGAGGGCTGAAACCGAGTGCCTAACTTCTAAAATTCTTCATAATTCTCCACTGAAACCCCACATTTCTTCTTTTTCCTCTCTGAAGCTTTGACTGAACCTTCTCTAGCACAGCCTGAATCCTCAATGGAGGATATTTCAAGTGCTGAAGAACGCAAGGATAATATTTTGTACGAGAAAGAGAATAGAGTCAGCCAATCTGTGATGCTCAATCGGTACTCTACCACGAGCAAGGACCAAGAAGAGTCTAGCCATGAGTAAGCAACCAATGGGCATGTGAGTTGACTGTTTTAGGGATGATAAGAAAGAGAAAACTTATAGCTCAGTTGAGCTGGATGAGATGCCTAAAAGATATTACGAGTATTTTAGCCGCAGTGAGCTCGAAAGTTCTAGTACTGGAGGATCGGGTGTTGAGCAAGAGGAAAGTGAGTATGAGGATACTGAAGGAGAGGATGCTGAGGGGGAAGATACTGAGGGAGAAGATGCTCAGTCTGTATTTACACACTCTAATATCTCAGGTATAACATCTAACAATCAGTGTAAGTCAAAAATACTGACCTTACAACATACTCTAAACCTCTTCTTCCCAAAGCGATTTGGCCTCCAAAGTCTGCGCCCATCAAAACCTACTCTAGAGCGAAGCCAGAGACTTTGTCAATGACTTGTACCCTAACTGGATCCCTAGAACCTCTCAGTGGGCGCCTTGGTTAGGGTTGATGAATAGATTGGATTTTTGAGGGTTTAGGAAATAAATTATAGAATTTGGAGAAATTAAGTTTTGCAGAGGGTTTAGAAGGTTTTGGACGTGGAATTTGGAGTTTTTTTGGGTTTTAAGTGGGGGTGTTTTAGAAAACTTTTTGAGTAGGAATTTACAATTTTTAAGAAGTAGATAGGGGCTTTGAGGATTCGGGGGATTTTAAGCTGAATATTTGGAGATAGTTTAGCTTTAATTGGTTAATGGAGACGGATCATAGTTATGAAATAAAAAGGTTATGATAGTATTATATTTAGCTTGGTATGTAGAACAAATCTAGATCCTTTGGTTTTATTAAAAATTGCATCAGTGTCTATCCTAAGCTTTTTTATACAAAATCAATACAATTTAAACCTCTGAGTATCTTAAACCCAAAAATTCATACTCCCAACACCCAAGTAGAAGGATTTTTTATCTTCAAATTAAGCCAATGGTATCAGCATTCTAAAAATCCAATCTAAAACGTCTAAACTAACCTCCACAACTCTTCTACTCCACCCCTGCTAAATTCATCCCTTAAGCAAGCTACCAGAGCTCAGATGGCTCCTGGCAGCCCCAATTTCTAGCGTTAGCTGCCTTTTTTGCTTCTAACCCCTAATTTTTCCAAATAGCTAAACCTCGATGTAGCTATGAAAGCCAAGAATCTATAATGACTCAGTTCATGAAACAGTAAGTCTTCGGCCTTTTTGGTTGTTTTAGAGTTCGATAATAAAGCTTTAGAACCACCCTGAACCAACTCAAAAGAGAACAAGAGATGAAGAAGAGAGAGTGGGACAAAATCCAGCATTCTAACCTTGATTTCTTTGATACCATTATTGTAAGCTTTGGCCTCAATTGAGAGGGATTGAAGGAAATACCCAAACTAAGGAGTTTAGCTAATGCTAATCTTTCTTATAGCTTTATAATGAACAAGAGAAAGCCAGGGCTTATTTATCAATGAAAATTCAGAATAATAAGTAAGTCACAAGTCTTCCCCAGACCTTCTTGAAAGGGTTCTGACCATTGTTTAGGTATGAATGGGTTGAAGACAAAGAGGCTGCTACAAACTTTGTCATCACTCCAATCTTCAACGACACAAGTAACATCATCAAGAACAACTATGAATGCTTCGTAGATGACCGGAAGTACAGAGAACTGACTTTCAAGAGCTATTTAGGCAACCTAAAGAAGCTGCATGACAACCTGGATCGTATCAGGGCTGCTCAGAAGTTCCACCTGCCGATTAACCATGCCTTTATTCTCAAGAGGAAGAACAAGGAGAAGAGTAGACAAAAGACCAAGCTGAAGAACCTCCCTATTATTGGGGAAGAGAACTGAGCAGATGTCGTGCAGTGGCAGTGGGTCCGTATGGGTGAGAACACCCAAGGAGATTCTCCACAGCCAAGGAAACCATACTACTTGGCTACACTTACCAAGGATAATAAGCTCCATTATCTTGGCTCAAATCCTGAAGAAGGAGTCCCCGAAGCAAGCTTGTGGAGCGATAAAGTCATCAAGTACTGAGACATCAGATGAGGTAAAATACTATTCTAATTTCTATAGAAATTCGTGAGAAATCCAAAATCTCAACAGATACAGATATTGGTAAGTCCAGTACCTAAGCTAATGACATAGCTCAGCAACAGCTCATTAGTACTGACAGCTGGATGATCTTTGATAGCCAGAACAGGTACATCAACTGTTCCAAGGAATTTCCAAACATTTTCAAGCTAAGCAGGTCTAAGAAGCATCCAATTGTTACGACTGAATACCAAGGAATGGATTACGAATATATCTCACAAATAAACAGTTTCGAGATTAAATATTACCCAAATGAATCCAGAGTGCTGTTCAAGACAAAATGCAAGCTCCACCACCTATCTCATAATGCAGAGGCACGTGCAAATAGGCCATTCGAGGGATTCAAAGAGAAGTATCTAGCTTATGATGAAGAGAAAGACCACATTTTCTTGTCTCCAGAGCTGTACTACTTCAGGGTTGAGTCTGAAGGAGACAACCTCCTCAGGGCCAACCTCAAGTTCAAGCTTGGAATTGATGGGACTTCACTTTATGTAAGTAGTACTCCATCTTCGACCTCAGCAGTCAGTAAGATTGAAGTCACTGAGATCGATGAAAGAACTGAGAGTAACTTTAAGTTCCACTTGGCTAAAGTCCCAAAGCTTGGCTCAAACCTTGGAGGTATTGAGAACGAGCTATCCAGAGTCAAGCGAGATTGGGACAAGAAAACTACTGTTTTGGATAGACTCAGCAAGAATAAATTGAAATAAGATCTATCACAGCTTGAAAAAATTCCTCATTTTTGTTCTGAAGCCTGCTTATAAGAAGGAACCAAACTCTGTCAAGGAGTCAACTAAGCAAAACAGGATGTGTATTAATGGTAAATAACTGTTCTAAACGTGCTTCCAAAGCTCTAAAGAAGAGATTTTTCCACTATTACAAATGGTGCTCAGTAGACGTGACTTTAAATCAATTTGTAGTATCGCACTGAACTCTACATAGAGGAATACTAGAATATTGTAATTTCAGACTTTGCATTCCCTTTTCAGTCTCTCAAGCTGTTCATATAGGATACAACAATATAAAACAATTGAGTCATTTGAACAAGATCTATAATATAGAAAGAGTGCTTCATATACTTCAGAAAATCAGAGATATTCTAAACAAAAAAAGTTTTGACTGGAGCGAAATCAGTAAAACAATCTTTGATAATATAGCAAAAGCTATTAAAAGTCCTTACAACAATTGTTGTGAATATATAGCAATTCTTGGTCTTGAGCAACCCAGACTGGATTACTCAAGAGCTCTCCAAAGAGCTGCTATGTTTATCACATTCGTTGGTCAAACTGAAAGCAACGATTACAGGTATTATCTGTATCATTTCGTAGGAGAATCATGATATTACAAAAGATTGTTGAGCTAAACTACCATTGCCTCAAACCAGCAGGCTCGGACTCTGAGATCAAACAGACTATTTATGAGCTTGAGTCCTTTAAACCCTTCATTGCTTATGAACTAAATAAAGGGTTTGATAAATGCGATTTGAACATATTATTTGGGATTATGACTAACTACTACAGGTACGCCTTCTCCATTAGAGGCCAACAATTGGGGTTATAGACATCAAAAGTTGGCTTAAAGTTATCACTTATTACTAATCTATGGTATAGAGACCAACATTGTGTTTGGAAAAGCAATACTTTCAACCAGAAAGCCTCAGAGTACATTTCAATGCATCTTGAGGGAGAGATCTCAAAAATTTGAGAAATCAATCTTGAAAGATGTGAGCATAATTACAAAGTTCTTGAAACAGAAGCTGAACAATTTTACGCAAATAACTCTCTATACTTCAGATCAAGACAAAAAGCTCTCCTAATGTCAAAAGCCCAATTGACAGCATTGAGGGAACTAATGTTTATGGTAATCTTTAGCACAAATGCTCAGCCTGATTACCTACACAAAAGCAATGGCTCACAACGTGAGAAGGTAAGAATTCCTACAGTTTCATGACTACTAAACTGATCTAGACCATCAAAATCGTCGAATCCTTGTATATGCAATATAAGGAAGAAACAACCTCAAATTACCACATCCTCGCTCTTGTATTGAAAGTACTGGGAAGCTTCAATAACTCTTTTAAGCAGGCGAACACTCTGCTTCAGATATCTCTGAAGAAAATACCCCGTGGTAAAGACAATCTCTCAGACCTTGACTCCTGTCTTTTCGTCAGTGAGACATTTAGCCTCATGATTTCTATGCTTGAAAACGAGCGATATCAATCCAAAATAATGGAAGAGCTTAACAAAGAGGACTGAGTTGTTTTATTCCAAAATCTTATGGATGAACTGTCTTTCAAAATCAGGCATGCGAAGCCACATGCGTGAGACTTCCTGAAGCACACCCAGCTTGATGATCCAGTTCTGAGAGAAATCAACGATGCAATGGTTGAAGACACCTATGATGATGTTGATGTACTACTTGAGTCATACGAGCGAGAAATTATTGTAAAGATATTCAGAGTCATCTTCATTATCATTCAGAATAGCCGAAGAGGCGCCAAAAATGCTGAATCGCTTGCAAACATTCCGCTCCTGGAATCACTCATTTTGGATAGATCTTCTCAAAACACTATTAAACTTTTGAGACTAATCCAGCAAGTGATCATCAAATGGGTGAACTTTGAAGACGAGCAGAAATCTTCTGAATGAATCTTCGACACTATTTTTGAGATAGACCTAATCTCACAGAAATTTCCTAAACAATTAAAGATAGTAAAAGGGCCGAATTACAATACTGAGGCAAACATTTTCAATCTGTGCCTCGAAGTCCTCCCATTTTTCACCCATTTGAAACGAGAGTACGAAGAGCCGCTTGCATTCCTTGAGGCAGAAATTGCCTCTATGAAGTCAAATATTGAAGGACATGACAGACATTATGAGAAAGAACAGGAATACCACCAAAACCATATCCTAATAATCTACAACCTGATCCTTCTTCTGATCAAGATCAATGGGTTAGTCGATCCAAAGGGAGAAAATGACAAACAGTGTGACAAAAGACGAACAGAATTCGTTAAAAAGTGCTATGAATACCTTAAAGAGGCATCCCGGATCCCGATGCTTGCTAAGTCCATGTGGACATTCCAGTCAAATTTCTTCACTCTCACATGGGAAAACTCTAACAGAAACATGCAACATGAAGACTTGTTAAATAAGATTATGGATATCTGAGACATGGCAAAACTCAACATCGACTCATGCGCTTCTTTCATGGAAGTAGCTGCCAAGCGAGGTCAGTTCCTCCCAGAAGATGTGAAAAAGAGAATCCTTGAAGGAGAAGAACTCGATGAGTATCGTAAAATTTATGGATTAGACCAGAACTATATCAAAAGCAAACAGAAAATTTTCGATTACTTCCTGATCCTTTGTAAATACAGGTTTGAAGAGAACAACGAAGATCAACTTCAGAGAAAATATATAGGTAAGCAATCTGGCTGTAATATTTATTATATCAACCTTCTCTTCTGAATTATACCTTTACTTGAAAAGTGGGCCATAGTAGGATCTTTCAAGCATTGAACAGAGCTTAGCCTTTTGAATTTCCTTCTCAAAGCAAGAACTTTCTCATCTGACTTTTGAATTTTAGGCCTCAAAAGCATCGAAATTGAAAATGAAACTTTAGTTTCTTGGTGCGGACTGGAAATGTACGAGTCAAGTCTTTGCAAAGAATTCATTACAGGGTTACTACAGGATATGAAAGACCTTAAAGGCGAAGAGCGAGAAATAAAACTAACTTCATTTCAATTATTCATTCACAAGCTATTCAAGCAGCTCCAATCCATCGAACCAGATTATGAAACTCAAAAATACATGCTTCATATGCTGACGATGCTCTACAAAGCCCTCAACGACGAGCAGCTGATGAGAATAACTGAAGTAAGGGAGCTATTCTACACAGAATCTGCAACTGATATTCTATTTTCATTGATCATAAAGAACTATGTCTTCCTTCAGTGAGCACCCAAGATCAGATACTTTGTGTACCTGATAACCCTTCGTTTGGCAAGGATAGACATTAAAGCAGCCAGAAAATCCTTCAGAGCCTGGACAAATGAGAAGGATAACAAGAAGGTTTTCTTCCAACGCATCACTGATATCATCACCGGCTTCGGTAAACTTTTTCATGAAGAGTGCATTCGAGAGAGAATCAGCTTCGAAATAGATGCAACTGACTACAAAGAAATGATCCTTAGTCTCAAGTGGTTGACAATTTTATGTCAGAACGAGAAAAAGTGGCAAGAATATATGATCAGGCAGGACAACTCCGCTGAAAACCACAACCTGACTCTCCCCATCATCGAGCTAATGAGGCTCACTGTGACAAGGCTTCAGGAGGAATATGTCGTTGACCTCTGGCTCTCAATTGTTAGGTTCATCACGCAATGTATCAGTGCAAGGAACAAGAAACATATCATTGAATTTGTGAATTCTGGAGTTTTCAATTACTCAATCACCATGCTTAAGACACAATATTCTGACACAGAGAAAAGATTTCTCAAGAACATCGACAAGGTCGACTGGATTGATAGACCTGATGAGGAAGATGAGAATGATCTCCCTGAAGAAGAAAACAAGCACTGGGCTGAAGATGCTGTAATTTTTAAGAACAAATAAGGTAAACTCTCTTAAGCAAGAAGTTCTTTGGCTGATCAACTGTCTGCTGATCAAAGACACAAAACATCTTTTCATCAACAAGGAGAATCACCAATACATCAATGAAGTCATGACGTTGAGTTATGTTCAATTCAGAATTCATTATTATGACAGATACGATCCAAGATTGTTTGACAAGAACTCCAAGCTTTCAATGCGCTACAACATTAACATTGGATTCCAGAGCTACTACTTAATCGCAAGATTTTGGAACAACAATGAAGTAGGCAACACCAACGAAGTGCAGATCAGAGATGAAGAGTCTACCTTAGTTGGCTACTTCCGTCTCTTCAAAGGTTTTTGCTTCACTTTAAGATCTTGTAAATAGAGGGGAAAAGTTCATATCAAGCAAAGATTACAAGAAATTTGAGAAACGGCCTAACCTGACTGAAGAAGCAACCGAATTCTTTGATGGCTACAGCTCATGCATCGAAATCATTATGTCGGATGGGACACCAGCCACCAGATATTTTGAGATCCTCCCTGAGTTTTTGCCATTCAGCCCTGAAGAGAAGAATGAGTTCTGGGAGGAAGCCAACTTAGATAACAGTAAGACAGCTGTTCACTCCCTCATGAAATTCGCTGACGATAAGATAGATGAGCTATTGCTGCAGCAAAAGGTTCAAAACTGGCCTATTTCCATAAGAGATATAGCCAAGAAGGCAAATTGGTTTACTGATATCACCTGAATCTTAATTCTAGCTATCAACTTCATCCTCTTTGTTGGTCTTGAGAAGATATCAGGAAATTGACTTGAAAAATCAAGCGTCGCTGATAATTCCAACTTCTTTGGCATTGGTAGTGAAGAAACAAACGTTTTACTATATTTCCTTGGTACTATATTGTGCTGATGCCTGGTCTACATCACCTTTATTCAGGGCTGTATCATGGTAGCCCTCCAAAAGAGAAGAACAGAAAGATACACCAAAAAGTATTCTAAATGGAGAAGATGCAATAAGCCTGTCAGAGTTCTATTGTATATGATTAAAAATATGGAAGAAACACTCAAAACACGTGAGATCTGGTCTCTAGGAATTTCTCTGATATTTACATTTCTAGGTTTGATACACAGGAAATATTGGTTTGCATTCACATTGGTATACATCCTGATTAACTCGAGAACCATCTACCATGTTTCTAGTGCCTTGTGGGTGACAAAAAGAAGGATCCTCGCCACCCTAGCTCTCACAGCTGGTGTGTTCTATTGGTTTGCTATAGTTGCATATGTCAACTTCGGTAATGACTTTGCAAGAGCACTTCCAGATAGTGAAATAACTTTACTCCGAATTCTGGTCATAATTATCCACTCTTGGTACAATGAAGGAATCTCAGTTTATTTAGAAGCGGGAGAAGCCTCTGCAGTCTACAAAATTGAGGATGATAATAAAACCTATAGTATTTCCATATACAGAATGATATTTGATTTCCTATTCTTCTTCGTCTCAACCCTTCTTCTCAGTATTCTCAGTGGTATCATAATTGATTATTTCAATGAAAAGAGGACGAACTCTGATCGGCTGAAGGATCGTCAGAACGATCAGTGCTTTATATGTGGAACTGGGGCCAACAAGCTTCCTAATTTTGATCTTCATTGCAAATATGAGCATAACATTTGGGACTATATGTACTACATTGGCTTTCTCAGGATCATGCGGAAGGATCAGCTTCAGGACTACAGAGATCTCCATGTGAGAAATTGTATCTCTAAGGGTGAATTCCTTTGGTTCCCTGCTTACAAGGATGAAATCACATGTAGGAATGATCAGCAGCTTGACATGGACCAGACTGCTGCAGATGAGGGTGCTATTTCAAAGAATCTTCAACGTTCTTCCACATCTATCGGAATCACCAATAGCAAATTCGATGCACTAGATGAAAGAATTGGATCATTAGAATTTAAAAATGAAGAAATGAATGCAAAGCTTAATCAAATTTTGTCAATTCTAGATAGAAATAACAATTTTTAAAGCAAAATGCAACCATTTAACTGTTGTTTTTCTCTAAATTTATCTTCCAAATCTTTCCAGAATTCCCAAATTAAAAATTCTACCAAGCCAGCAGCCTGTAACACTTCAAGTGTCTAGTAGTGCCCCGTTAGTTCATCCTTTGGGTTTGGATACACTTTGCTGATTTTTTAGGGGATCGAATTATGATTTCAAGAGTTCCTCTGAGGGTTTCTCACACAAATTGGACTTCATTGCCTGCTTAAATTCAAACTCTCCTTATGGTCCATTTTAGTATCTAATTCTTAATCTCAGAGGTTCCTCGGATCTTTTCGTTAGCCACTAACCTAGCATCAAAACTGATCGAGCTCTCAGATGCCAGCCCAAGCTGGGTAGACACAGAATAGGTTTTAGGATTATGGGGAGAATAGGAGACAGGGTTTTTAAATTATTAGGTGAAGCTAGTCTCAATTTTGAATGGGAGTCTTTCTGGATATTTAGGAGGTCAAGGTTTTATGGGTTTAGCTATGAACAGAGAGGTTTTATAGATTTTTATGTGTAAAACGCAAGCAGCAGTGCAATAAAGTGTAATTTTATAACTTTGAGCCAAAAGAATGTGGACATAATAAAGTCTTACTTCTAATAAAAAACACTTAAAAATACACCATAGCCTGTTCACCCTTCACACTCCAAATCTTCCTCCTTTCCTACCTCCTTTACCCTAAATTCCCCAAAACTCCGCCACCCAATTATCTGATGCTAAACCTTCAAAATTTCCCAAACCCCATTGTTGAACTACAAAAGCCAAAGTTCCAACTTGTTCACTCACTGGTGAAGCCCAGTACTGAGTAGAAACCTTCTTCGACAAGTTCAGGGCAGAACTCTGCACTATTACTAGGGATTGGGATTCACTGATGAGGGATGGATGAGGGTAACTGGGGAGCTAGCATGGCTTTACCAAACTTATTGCGCCTAGTAAGTTACAGAAAGTCAGAATGCTTGGTCATGAGAAAATAATTGCAAAGAAGTCTTATTAGGTAAATTAAGGAACTTGCTTAGGCTTAATACAATAGATTTAAAAGAAATACCTCATGTGCATTTCTGAATATATAATTTTAATATTTGAGCTGAATTCATGTTTTATTGGGGTTTTGGGGTTTTGGGGTTTTGGGG